TCATCACCTTGGTATGGGTCCCTTCTCATTGCTCTATCTCGGGCAATGAGAAAGCGGACTCGCTGGCCAAGGTAGGCGCTATGGAAGGCGATATTTACGAGCGACAAATCGCCTACCACGAATTTTTCACGATTTCTCGTCAGCAAGTCCTCGCCAACTGGCAACAAAAGTGGAATGATGGTGATCTGGGAAGATGGCTACATTCTATCAGGTGTCGATCAAACCCTGGTTCAAAGGGTTGGATATGAGTCGTGATTTTATTCGTGTTATCTTCAGCCTCATGTCCAATAACTGTTCGTTAAACGCCCACCTCTTCCGTATTACGCTTGTCGACAGCAACTTGTGCACCTGTGGAAACGGTTATCACGACATCGAGCATGTTGTTTTGTCCTGCTCCTTGCATCATGAGGCGAGATCCGTTCTGTGTGATTCCCTTAGGGTCCGAGGAAAACAACCCTTTAAGCCAATTAGAGACGTCTTGGCTTGCCGTTATATCGTCTTTATGAATCTTAAAGCTATTGATGTATGTGTTTAATGTTTTGTGTTTTAGTCATCCTTTACGTTTAAGTTTTAAATTAGTTCCCTTGTCCTCTCTCCAAATTATCAAAAAATGTAATCCCTAATCTCGAGTAAGCCGCGAGTAATCGGCCCCCGTTCTACTAACATTAGTTGTAAGAAAAGATATTAATGTAAAAAATATTCGGCTCCGCAAAGCTAACGCATTTGAGCCTTGACAAATAAATGGATTATAAAAAAAAACTTAAATCATGGTCCATTTTGGAAACCTACATACACCATGTATTGCTGTATCTCAAGTTCTTGAATTATTTAGAAGGGTGATGTCTTCGGCAAAGTTAATCAGAAGATCAAGGGCTGCTGGGTGGTGGACAGATGAATTCTGAATTATTTCGTTAGGCTGAGCATCCCACATGTACATATTTTGAACTACTGTCCTCAAGTCCGGATTATTTCGACGGATTACGTCTTGTGCAAAGTTGATCAGGAGGCCAAAGACTACTGGGAAGTGGACAGGTTAATTATAAATTCTGCCATTAGGTGGCGCTAGTGAATGTTCAAATATGTGTTACTACTGTATCTCCAGATCCAGATTATAAAGAAGGATAATGTACTGGACAAAGTTGATCAGGAGGTCAAAAACCGCTGGGAGGTGGACATATCAATTCGGAATTCTGCCTACAGGCGGTGCTAGCGAGCATGCAGCATGGTACTGCTGTATCTCCAAATCCTGATTATATGGACGGGTGATGTTTCCGGAAAAGTTGATCAGGAGGTCAAAGACTCCTGGGAGGTGGACAGATCAATCCGGAATTATGCCACTAGATGGCACTAGTAAGCATGCAAATATTCAGAGCTGCTGCATCTCCAGATTCTGATTATAAAGAAGGGTAATGTTTTCGGTCATGCGCTGATGGGATGTGGACTTCTAAATTCTGAATTCTGCCGCTAGGCGGTAGTGAGTATTCCACATGCACATATTCTGTATTGATGTATCTTAAGATCCTGATTATGTAAACCGGTAATATCTTCGGTAAAGTTGATCAGGAGGTCAAGGCTGCTGGGTGGTTGATAGATTCATTCGGAATTCTGTCGCTAGTGAGCATCCCACAAGCCAATATTCTGTATTGATGTATCTCAACATCCTGATTATTTAGATCGGTAATATCTTCGGCAAAGTTGATGAGGAGGTCAAGGACGGTTGGGTGTTGGACAAATCAATTCAGAATTCCCCACTAGGTGGTGCTAGTGAGCGTGCAAATAATCCGTTTTTCTGTATGACCAGATCCTGATTATATAGAAGGGTTATGTTTTCGACAAAGTCGATCAGGAAGTCAAGGGCTACTGACACCAATTTGGAATTATGCCGCTAGGTGGCGCTAGTGAGCATCCAGCATGCAAATATTATGTGGTGTTGTATCTCAAGACCCTGATTATATTTAAGGGTGATGTCTTCGGCAAAGTTAACCAGGATGCCAAAGAATGCAGGGAGGTGGACAGATCAAATTTGATTTCGGCCGCCAGCTGATGCTAGTAAGCATGCAAATATTTTATACTGCTGTATCTCTAGATTATATAGAAGGATGATGTCTTCAGGAAAGTTGATCAGGAGCCAAGAGCTGCCGGGTGGTTGACAGATATCTTACTATTCTGTGCTTGAGAGCATCCCACATGCAAATATTATTTGCTGCTGTACCTCAATATCTTGATTATTTAGACGGGTGATGTTTTCGCCAAAGTTGATCAGAAGGTTTCATTTTAGAATTCTGCTTTGTGCGAGATATTCAGGAGTTGATAAATATTGATCAACTAGCAGTTGATCACTAGAAACAAAACCTTGATTGATATGGAATAGATACAGCAGTCAAAATGACCATGAATTTTGATCATCTTCGATCAAGGTCAATGTTCATCATTTTTTTAAGCTTTGAAAGAGATGCTTTATGGTCAAAATCTGATGGAAGGTGACAACTAGCTAGGAGGAAAGGGATGAAAGTTTAGAACGGATAGTTCGGTTAAAGAAAGGCAGTGTGAAATTTGAACAGAAATTGAAAGTGAGTAAGTAGAATTTTGTTGCCAATATAATTTTCTTCTTTTTACCAAGCTACCGGTTGATCTGATCATCATGCAGTAGTTCGGAGTAAAGCGTAGTAGCTTTACAACTGAAACTGGCAAAGAAATAAGAAGATTCAGTCAGCTTATATACCATTGACTTGCATGCACACTAGCGTCACCTACTTACAGAACTCCGAATTGATCTGTTCAACTCTCAGCAGCTCTTGAACTCCTGATCAACTTTTCCAAAGACATCATCCTTCTATATAATCAGGATGTTGAGATATGTACCTGCAGAAAATTTGCGTGCTCACTAGCTCCGCCTTGTGGCAGAGGTCTGAATTGATATGTCCACCACCCAACAGGCCTTGACCACCTGATCGACTTTTCCGAAGACATCACTCTTCTATATATTCAGGATCAGAAAGTGTATATGTTGTACATATTATTTGCATGAACACTAGCGCCATCTGGCGGCAGAATTCAAAATTAACAAACCTGCCAGTAGTCTTTCACCTCCTGATCAACTTTTTCAAAAACATCAACCGTCTAAATAATCATGATCTTGAGATACACCAGTACATAATATGTGCATATAGGATGCTCACTAGCGCCGCATAGCGGGATAATTTCAACCTGATATATCCAACATCCAGCATTCCTTGACCTCCTGACCAATTTTGCCCAAGACATCATCCTTCTAAATAATCAGGATCTTGAGAGTACAGAATATTGGCATGGTGTGCAGTTTTCCAACTACGTAAAGTCCGACTTTAAGATCCAACATAACTCAAAGTATGCCATGAATTGAATTCCAATTCAGCTAAAACGTCTTATCTTTATCCAATTTGAAGGTACTGTGGTTTGTTTGCTTCAAAGTGGCCTATGGCACCGCAGGCTTCCATTACAGACTTAATTCGGCCCAAAACGAGACTACGGATGATAAATAAATGCGTGCCTAATTAATGCGATGAAATATGTATTCACCAGCCGGATTTCTCGCATTAAGCCCAGCTGAAGAAACATGACAAAATCAAGTTAACATTTTGCTCATTACACAACTAATTAACGCACCCGCACCCAGCAACTTCAAACGAATTGGTAAACAATTTTCGTGAAGTGTTCCACGAATTCCTCCCTCGCATTTGGAGCAATTTTTTTAAAACCCGAGTTTATGTACCTATGGCAGCTAATAAAGCTGGAAAAGGTGCCCTCTCATTTCCCTTGCTTCATGCAAGCACTCAACCAAATGGTGTCCCTAATTCGTTCCCGGAAGCACCAAATTCCAAACTGTCGAGCTCCGATGACTTTCGCATCCTTAGACACATAGACGCTCATGCGAGCATATCTCCTTTCAAAAAGAATAAACCATATTAATTCCGCTGCTTTCCAACGATGCTATATTGTTGTATCCTTTTCTTTTGGGACTTACCTCTCGAACACTGTCTCTGTCTAAGTTCTGTGAACCTGATGTTGCTTATGTTGTTGAACCGTGATCTGCTGCTCTACTACTGCACTGGTATCGTAATTTGAAAAAAAGAACACACTTCTCGGAACTCACTTCGCGTATTTTCTGTTTTGCCCATTTAGCTGCTCGTCTCTCTCTGTTCAGACTTAATGAACGCGTCACTCAAAATTTTTCGTTAAAATTGATTTTCCTCTTTCCGTTTTACTCCCGCAGAATCCGCAGGACCAGGCGACCACCAGTGATGCGAATCGACGGATAGGATGGCAGCCGAGAAAATTAAAAACACTTCAATTTTTTTCTCGCTTCCGCTTTTTTTATATAATCAATGGGAAATCAATATCGATGAGTTGTGCTGGCCTACTGAGGAGTGTTGCACCGGGACACACTTTCACGTAGTTGTCAATCAAGCGACAATCGAAGCAGGCATACACCACCACCCCGCACCACTCACTGCCTTCTTTCTTCGGTTTGTCGGTTGGTTTGTTATTATTTATCCGAAAGGACCAACACATAACCCTGAGGACATTCGTAAGTTTTCTCTGTTCACCTGACCGGGACTGAGCATAAAACAAAAGCTTTTCTTGAAGGCGATAGAGGACGTCGACGTCGGCGGTGCGGTGGTAGGAAACGTAGAACCCCGTTATCCTTTCTCCCTTCTACTGGACTGCTTCTCATTTCATATTCTCGCTGCGCCGTACTTGTGGCCTCCTTTCCCTGAAGGAGGCTTTTTCGATCGATGATTGTCTCGGTCCTCGTCGAGTCCTTATACTCGATGATAGTCACATTCCCAACATATACACACTGACTCGGGAGAGATAGCTTCACGCAATCCTTAAAATTTAATACCTAGACCAGATTTGCTTCCTCGATGCATACCACTTTCATTTGCTTGATAATATCCAACTTGATTCCTTCATTCACCCCGCTCTAAGAACGAAAACTACAAAAGACAAACCCCCACCTTCTGCTCCTGCTGCTTCAACTTCTCTTCCGTAAAATCCAGAAAATACACGCGACAAAGCGGTCGGAAGAGGTAAATAAATACTACCACGGATTGATACTTGAACTGCTCTCGTCCCCCTCCAGTACACACTCACACACACACACCCACCCGAAAAAAGAATAACCTCCCGTTCCACTCCCGGATAATCTACCACTCTTCACTTTGATAGGCAATCGCTAAGAGAACTCTCGTCTGGCGCCACTTCACTCCGCGATCTACCGCACTGCATAAGAATCCACCGAAGACTGAAGCTTTTTCGTCCTTATCGGAGCCTTTTTAAAGCAACGACCCACCGCAGGGACGACCCGACCCGACGAGATTCGCCGGATGTGTATTCGGAAAACGCAGCGTGCGAGCTTTTCCCCGTTCTCAGCGCAGAGCGACACGCTCTCGTCCATCACGCTCACGATCCAAGTAGCACGTGAGTCCAGGCACAAAAAAGCTCGCTCTGTTTACGTTCCACCATCGGAAGCAGACGTCGAACACATGGCGTACGCTCCACTCCGTATTGGCCATTTATCGCCCATTCGCGGTGCCTTCTCCCCAGTTTCTATACATACTTGCGAGCTGTACCTACTCACGGCCGAGAGGCAGTTTTATCACAACATGACCAAGTTTTCGGTTTTTTTTTTGCATTGCAGGCCACATCGAGGGTCTCCTTACTCTCCTCTCCCGTCGAGACGACTACCGCGGGATGAAATCAATAAAATTTTCAGGAAACTTTTTGCCACACGCTGCTGGCTTCCACTCATGGGACGGGGATGGGATTTCGGGATCATGATTCCACGAAATCGACTGAAAGTGACTATGTACTTCGGTCAGCATGAATGGGAACAAGAGAACGGGAGAGAATTGAAGTTTTGGCAGCTTCCATTTGGCGAAGTTTGATTTGGAATGCTGGAAGGGAGAATTCGGCTGTAGCTTTAATTGAAGACTTAATGGAAATTTTGCGCATTCTTAGAAACTTTTAGGATCAATACAATCTTTCACTATCACGGAAGAGAAATCGCGTTGGTTTGAAAGGATTTTGTATTCTTACGAAATTGTAAATTTTTGAGCATAAGGGCTGTGATGGAAAAATAATTTGAAACTAGAACCTAATCTTGGTCCACGTGTAACTTTTTTTGCTCATAATCGGTTCGCTTGAAATCCTCCGAAGACTCGATCGATTCGATTGAAATCACAAAAACTACCATACGTCAACTCTATAGAGCAGTTCCACGCCAACTGACGAATCGAATCATGAAACTTCGCATAATTGGTCACTAGGGACAATAAACCAAGTTTATGCCATTTTTTGTATCTATTTAAGGACCTTCATACAAGGAATGACATACATTAACAGTTCCACTTAGAAATTGATACAGTATATGATACATATAGTGCTATTTAAATTAAATTAAATAATCCTAAAGGGCGAACACGAAATTATTGCGACACATTCAACAGGGCATAACTTTTTTACCATTGGGTAAAAATCAACCAAATTTTGCACACTTTCTCATTGATGTGTATTGTGTACATGCTGTCAAACTCGAAGTCGTGTTTTTCGATTCAACGAAAATGGAGGTGAACCAACGCGAGTTGAGAGAACAAATTCTTTCCAAACACCTGGAATTTCCTGACCTGTCGCACCGGCAGTTGGGAAAATGTTTAACATTCACCATTCAACCGTCTCCAGAGTGTTGAAGCGGTTCCAGGAGCGGTTGACGTTGGACCACGGCAAAGTAGCTGGAAGAAAACCGGGACCGGAGAACAAAAAGACGGAGGGAAAGGTGAAGCGGATGATTAAAACAAATCCCAACGTCTCAAGCCGTGATTTGGCTAAAAAGATCGGCATGTCGCAGAGCTACGTCCAGAATGCAAAGAAGAGAGCTGGACTACATACATACAAGGTACAGAACTTCCCAAACCGCGATGAGCGGCAACAATCGACGGCTAAAACTCGGGCACGGAAGCTCTACGAGAAGATGCTGACAAAATATGGCTGTTGTGTGATGGACGACGAAACGTATATAAAAGCCGATTTTAAGCAAATTCCGGGGTTGGAGTTTTTCACCGGCAAGAGCAAGTTCGATGTGGACGACAAATTTAAGAAGAAGAAAATGTCGAAGTTTGCCTCCAAATATCTCATTTGGCAGGCCATCTGCTCTTGCGGACTGAGGAGTGAGCCTTTCGTGGCAAAGGGCACAGTAAATGACGAGATCTACAAATCTGAGTGCCTCGAGAAGCGCCTTTTGCCGTTCTTGCAGCAACACGACGAAGCTCCGCTATTTTGGCCAGATTTGGCATCATGCCACTATTCTAAAAGTGTCCTGGAGTGGTATGAGGCCAATTCTGTCCATTTTGTTCCAAAGGACATGGACATGAATCCGCCAAACTGTCCGGAGCTGCGCTCGGTGGAGCAGTACTGGGCAATAATGAAGCGGGAACTTCGGAAGAACAAGAAGACAGTCAAAGACGAGAAGGACATGTTAAGAAAATGGAAAAAAAACTGAGAAACTGGTACCGGATGACACTGTAAAGACTTTGATGGAGGGCATCAAGCGAAAATTCGTTCAATTTTACACTCAAGGCTCCATCGATTAACTTTTCTTTTGATTTTTGAAGTAAATATATGTATAAAACTACCCTAAAATTTTGGTTTGATTCTAAACATTATAAGAAAATTGGCATGACATTTTCGGTGTCGCAATAATTTCGTGTTCGCCCTTTATATGTATAGCTTTATATTATGAGCTTCCAGTTGTTTCAGCGAGACGTTACTTACCCCATAGTAGCTTTGGCTTTTTAAAAATTAAAATTTCTCCTACACTTTAATTAGCTGACAATGAGGGCAACCTTATACCCCGTTCTCATTACGCTCTATATCACGTGATATAGCGAGATGATATCGATATCAAGTGGAGGTGTTCACACTACGCTGGCCTGATATAGCACTACGTTTATGCCAGCTAATTGTTGCAAACGGTTCTCATTGCAGGGAAATAAGGGAATGTTACTTCAACGGCTACAAAATGGTGAGTTGACAACCTGGAAGGAGCGGAATACCTAGCCGTGGTCCTCACAAGTTCCTACTTCACGCCTCCTCGAGTCATATGATAACAAAAGACTACCAGCTGAAACATGGACACAGCTGGGTGGCGTAGCCTGGGCAATGTTGCCAGTCCGGCAATAGCAAAGTGAAGAGGTGCGACGCGAACACTGGCGCGATAACCATAGTACGGTGATAGAGGAAATGCTTCACCAAACCCGAGCGTCTGTTCACCATGGAGGTGCGGCTCAAAACGGCGTCTGTTCTCCATGTTAGGAGCGGCTGATCACCGTCCTAGTGCCAGCGTGAGACTCTAAACAGAGCTGTGCACGATGGTCCCCCGGCAAGACAGGGGGTTGGGGCAGGCCCAACAAGCCGCCCTGAAAAAAAACAAAGTTGCAAATACTGAAGAAAGAAATACGGATCGGAACAATCGGCACAGACCTACGCGACGAAATAAGGACTACGATTGGAAACTCGGAACATGGAACTGCAAATCGCTCGGCTTCCCGGGTTGCGATAGGTTAATCTATGACGCAACTTCGAAGTCGTAGCACTGCAGGAACTTTGCTGGACGGGACAAAAGGTATGGAAAAGCGGGCATCGAGCGGCTACTTTCTACCAGAGCTGTGGCACCACCAACGAGCTGGAAACCGGCTTTGTAGTGCTGGGGAAGATGTGCCAACGCGAGTTCGAAGTACCTTTTTCCCCCGCAAGGATATCCACAAAGCCACCTGAAGATCACCTGACCAACACACAGAAAACCAAATCACGTTCACGTTCTAATCGACGGGAAATTCTTCTCCGACATTATCAACGTCCGCACGTACCGCAGTGCGAACATAGATTCGGACCACTACCTAGTTGCAGTATGCATGCGCTCAAAACTCTCAACGGTGCATAACACACGTCGAAGTCGAACGCCACGACCCAACATTGAGCAACTACGGGACGTCGGAGTTGCCCAGGACTACGCGCAGCAGCTGGAAGTTGCACTACCCACGGAAGAGCAGCTTGGCGCAGCTTCTCTTGAAGATGGCTGGAGGGACATCCGTTCAGCCATATAGGTAGTACTGCTGCAGCGGCACTAGGTACTGCAATCCCGGACCGAAGAAATGACTGGTTTGACGGCGAATGCAAACTGTTAGTAGAGGAGAAGAATGCAGCACGGGCGAGAATGCTGCAACACCGCACGAAATTGAATGTGGAGCGATGCAGACAAGCGCGGAACAGACAAAACTCGGTTTTCCGAAGGAAGAAGCGTCAGCCGGAAGACCGAGATCGCGAGACGATGGAAAATCTGTAGCGCGTAAACGACACACGGAAGTTCTACGAGAAGTTAAATAGTTCGCGCAAAGGCTACGTGCCGCAAGCCGATATGTGCAAGGACTTGGACTGTAATCTTCTTACGAACGAGTGTGAGGTGATTGATAGGTGGAAGCAGTACTATGACGAGCACCTCAACGGTGAAGCAGCAGAAAACGAAGGTGGCATGGCAACATACCTTGGAGCACGCGCAGAAGACGACAGGCTACCGGCCCCTGATCTTCAAGAATTTGAGGAGGAGATCGGTCGGCTGAAGAACAACAAAGCAACTGGTGTAGATCAACTACCAAGTGAGCTATTAAAATACAGTGGTGAAGCACTGGCTAGAGCGCTGCACTGGGTAATTGCCAAGATTTGGGAGGAGATATTACCGGAGGAGCGGATGGAAGGTGTCGTATGCCCAATCTACAAAAAGGGCGACAAGTTGGATTGCTGCAACTAGCGCGCGATCACACTGCTGAGCGCCGCCTACAAGGTACTCTCCCAAATTCTATGCCGCCGCCGTCACCATTTGCAAGAGAGTTCGTGGGGCAATACCAGGCGGGATTCATGGGTGCCCGCGCTACCCTGACCAAATTTTTGCGATTCGGCGGGTTCTGCAGAAATGCCGCGAATATAACGTGCCCACACATCATTTCTTCATCGATTT